AGTTAGTTACACGAATTCAGATATGAGATGAAATCGGATAGGGATGAAATCTGGTTTAAGAGTTTTAAGAGTTTTAGCCAAATGCTTTATAATATAATATAGATAAGTTAGGTTATTTTCTAGGTATACTTTTAATATATGTAAGCTAACATATTGAAACATAGAATTTTGATAGTCCATTACTAATTTTTCCAATTATAACTTTCATTAATATTAATTGTTATTTATTACTATTAGTTATTAATAAATTTAAATATTATTAATAATAATAAATATTAACTATTAGTAAATGCTAATTAATACAAACCGAAAATTAATATTAATTATACATTATACATTAACTAGTTGTGTATCCGCGCAATGCGGCGGGAGCCATGAATTTTAACGATTTTGAAGTTCCACTGGTTTTATAAGATAAGATTCAATGATGATATAGGTTACATTTGGTCTTTACATATTTATACAATTTGAATAAATAAGAGTTATGGTTCCAATTACAATTTGTATGACAGTTTAAAATCCAATATAGTTAAAATCCAACATATTTAAATGACTCCACAAATGTGTTCGATTTACACCAAGAGACTTGAGTTTTAAGATAAACACTCAAAACCATTAAAGAAAACTACAAATTTGACAGATCATAAGCCATGAAAAGACAAAAAAAGATGGGTTTTAGAATGAAATTTCAACTGCTTACCATCTTTCTTGTCAAGAAACTCAGATTAAGGTTGAATTAATACATGTATATATATATTTCAAAAAAACCCAAGAACATATTAATTCAGAACATATTATACAGTGCAATTTGGATAGCCTAACCCCAAAATATATAGTATATATATAAATAAATAACTATAAAAGTATAAATCATAAATATTAAAAATATTTTTTCACAATATATATATATTATATAATAATATAATTAAGTCAAAAACTATTCAATATTTGACTCATTTCGAATGTATTAACGAGACGATTATAATAGTGTAACTTGTTAAAATAAAAATGTATTTTTTAAACATGTTTTAATTTATATATGATTATGTATGTTAATTTGATAAAGGTTTAAAATGAAACATTTAAAAATAAAGAACGTAAACTAAATTAATTAACTAATTATAAGAGTATAAAATGTAAATTTAAAATTATAATTTTAAAAAAATCGGTTGTGAGAGGGTTAGTGCATGTTGGGGGGGGGGGGGGGGGGGGGGAGTGTATGTGAGAAAGGAGAGGGTGAAAAAGTATAAATGGTATCTTGGTCATTTAGTATTTTAAGACTTTAAGACTTTTGTTAAATTTGCTTAATAAGATAGTATAGATATAAAGTGTAAATTTAAAATTATAATTTTAAAAAAATCGTTTGTGAGAGGGTGAGTGTATGTGAGGGGGTGAATGTATGTGAGAGAGGGGGGGGGGGGTGAAAAAGTATAAAGAGTATCTTGGTCATTTAGTATTTTAAGACTTTTGTTAAATTTGCTTAATAAGATAATATATATATTATTTATTAATTATTTACAATGATCATCAACCACATCAATTATTTTGATACTAGGAAATGTTATCGTGCTTCGCACGGTCGTTGTTACTTAACGAAAAAAAACATCGAAAAATTTGAATTAAATATAAAGTGGTAAAAGTATCACAATAATTATGTTAGAATTGTATGTTCGAATGTTTGAATTTATAAGCATAAAGAGAGTTGCAATATATTGTTATAGGGAAAATGAATATACAGTGTGAAAGAATTTTAGGTTGTGATGGAGTATGTGATTTAAGGAATTAATAACTGAGAAGTTTAGAGATCATATTTTGTTATGAGTACGTTATTAAATTGTGATATGTTAGAAAATACATTTGGTAGATGTAAAACTAACATTCATGCTTTTGATTGTCTTATTATAAGAATAATATAGTCGTGTAATGTATTGCATGTGAGAAAGAAAAGTATAATGTGTATATAATTATTGTCAATTCGGTATATTATTAGGTGAGAGAGCCACATATTACTTTCTAGCATGAACAATCTAATAAACTTGTGACATGGTTGAAAATCCATTGCTAGATGGCAAAACTCGTTTTCCTGTAGAAAAAGTCATAAAATGAATAGTATTAGTTTATATATTATGTCAGTGTTATAGCTAAACAATATTTGATAATTACTATAAATGTTGAGGATGTTGTACTTGAAGATCATGAGTTGTTGAAGAAATAGTTTGGAAGACTTCATTGAAAACAATATTTTTAATGAATGTTCGATCTTCAATCTTATTGTCGGCATTTAGTATGACCAACCCTTCACGTGATGAAACTCGTGATACAACATACAGTTGGCCATGGGCAAACACTTGGTTAAGGAGATACAAGCCAACATGACGTAGTGATTGTCCTTGACTTTTATTTATTATCATGGCAAAGCATGTTGCCAAAGGAAGCTGACGCCTATTGATCTTGAATGGCCATCTTCTTTCATTTGGGGACATGATTATTTTTGGAATTGTGACATTCTTGCCAACATGTGTTCCAGAAATAATATTTGCTCTGATGGACCATTTTCCCAATTTTGTAACAATCGATCTTGTGCCATTGCATAACACCTCTAATTGATTTAGATTTCTAAGAAGCATCACTGGAGCTCCTTCTTTTACTTTAATGTCATGGTTTGGGACACCATTGAATTTTAAACTGTGCAAAAATTCTGATGGACACAAAAGATCTTCTTCATTAGTTTGTACACTTAGCTTTGCACACATTGTCTGAATTGAGGTAGTTGACACCTTCTCCTGGTAGCATGTTCATAATTATGTTGTTCAAATCATGAACCATTTCATTTTTTGGTGTCAATATCGCTCTTTCTTTCAGATATGTAGGGTTGCCAAAATTATCCAACAACGATGGATACACAGCTTGAATCATGCATTGAATTGGGTCCTCCCATTGGCTTAGGGCGATATCAGATGGAAGTTTGATCAACTCTCTTTGAATGTCATCGTACAGAGAACCATCTCCTAGCTGCAACAACCGCTTGTCAATAGAATCTATTTTACAAGCTTCAGATTCTGGTATATCTCTAGCATATAGCCTTATATTTTGGTTAAGCTTAAGAACGTTGAAATATGGCCATAAGTAGGATGAACTGAGAGAAGCATCAATGATATCACCTTTAGTTCCTTTTGGAACAACGGGCAAAATTTGACGAAAATCCCCACCACAAACAACAATWAGTCCACCAAAAGGTTTTTCATTGCTATTGGGAAATCTTGTTGTATATAGATCTCGCAAACTTCTGTCCAAAGATTCAAAACAAAATTTATGTGCCATTGGTGTTTCATCCCAAATGATCAAAGAGGTTTTCATGAGAAGTTTTGTCAACGTTGTACCATGTCGAATCTCACAAGTTGATTCTGCCATGACATTGATCGGGATATGAAAGCGAGTCGTTATGTTGTTAGGCAATTATAAAGTTACAATCCCCAAAGTTGCAACAGACAAAACTATTTCTGCTTCTGATCTGAACTTAGCAATGATTGTATTCCACAAAAAGGTTTTCCTGGCACCACCATGACCGTGAATGAAAAACAATTCTCCCTTTTGGGATTGCACAGAACGAACAATTGCTTCATATGCCTTTTCTTGACAAGAATTTAGAGTGTCAAATGATTGGTCATGCAGATTCTTCAATTGATGACGATCATAATCAAGTTCTTCATCAATCAACCGATTTTTTGATTCTCGCAACAGTGTAGAATTCGGCAATGGCATTCCAACTATATCTTTCAAACTTCTTCCCATTTTCAACATTATTGTTTCAATTTCAACCAAGGTATATGATTCCACTTGTTTGTCAGTTAAGTGCATGTCCGGGGCCCTAAATTTTTTCCTTTGGAGGTAAAGAATATCTTCGGACAATGTAATGTAGTGAGACTTCCAAAGATGTGATGCATTTGAGACTCGGAAATGGATGATCATTGTAACAAATAGATGACACAATTCATTGCTAGTTGCCCAAAGTGCAACTTCTGTCAAACAATCAATCCATTATTTATCATCCTCCAATAAACCAAGTGCATAACATGCATCTTGGAAAGAAGGGTATGTAACATTGTTGACAGTTCAGATACTCTCAAACGAAGTACATCCTTTGACATAATTAAGCAACATCCTCATGTAAAAACGCTCTCCACTTAAAGGGGAGGCGTAAAAAATTCTACCGATTGCAATGCCTTTCTTTCTTTTTGTCCAAACTTTATTGTTTGAATTCCAAACCCACCGTGTGGGAAAATCTGACTAACTTAATTGTCGTGCCTCCACATACTTCTTATTTGCTTCCAACCATTCTGTAAACTTTGTCTTTTCCACGCCAGGCATAGATAGAACGTTTTCGACACAATTATTTTCACGAAAAACGACGGTATGATTGCCAGACAAATGAAATGGCAATCTTTCAGCTGATAGGTGTCTATAATGTATGTCAAACTGAAAGATCCTCCAATAAGCCTTAGCAGCTGATATATATCTGCAGTCCAAATAAGTCTTGATCCCATCGTCTCCTTCACCTTTGTCTGAGGATTCAATTGTTGCGATAGCTCTATCGGATCTTTTATGAAGATATTTGAATAGATACTTTATAGTTCTGGAGAAATTATAGAGCTACACATTAATATGTGCATCAAATTTAACCAACAAGTTTTTATTGTATGGGACCACTGAACGATTATCCAAGAAGATATATTTCTTACAAATAGTTATATTTGTTTTCCTTCTTTTGTAAATCGGGAATCCCTTGGCATCGATGATGGTTTTGTCAACAAACTTCTTTGGATAAAGTTTTGAACATCTGCCTTGTACCATACATGGACATTTAGAATTTGAACTTCCACATGGCCCATGCATCGTAAATTTTTTGACTGCATTGTAGCTATCAAGATCAACATGTCAGAAATTTCGGCTATTATTATATTGTCGATATGGTCACCGAAGGATTTTTTATCGTCCGATGTAAGAAGAGCAAGATATGTGCATGCAACAATCCTCTTTTTTGAAATTCAATTGTGTACAAACCTACGATATATAATAAGGGAAAAGGTTATGGAATTGAGAATCATGATAAGATAAAATTTTGATCGCATTTTGAAGTAGTAAAATAGTTGTAGAATAAGTTTGGGTATGGTGTTGACTTACATGCGATTATTTGTCCAAATGGTTGTTCGGTCTTCAGGTCTTGCATTAGTTGGAAAAGTTTGATCTCAAACACGCGACACACAATATCTGCACGATTTTCATGATATTTTTGGCCAATTTCCTAGGAGCATGTCTTTGATTTCAGGCCATTTAGGATTGCACGTGAAAAAATAGAAATAAATCTGGATACCCAACCCATTTGCAAATTGCCATTGTGTCTTGATAGTTTTATGCTTTATAGTGTGGTCCTCCGTTGTGTGATGATGGTAAGATAATTGATTTCCCCACCGTTGAACAATCTGAATCACCACAGTGAACAACATCCATTAATCCAGAATAAAGATCGGCTCTGAATTTTGTATGGCTATTTCTTATCCATCGAAAACGCTCCTTTTCAATTTCTATGTAAGAATCAACGATATATTGTTGAAGCAATCTACCTCCTTGAAGAAGACTTTTGCCTTCATGTAATCTTTGTTGAAGACGAAAACAATATATTGTCTCATCGTCAATTTTTGTCTTTTTGATTTCACTGTTTGACAAGTTTCTTAAAGGAATGTCAGTTCTATAACCATCTTCACCATGTGGATGTATCAATGGGTATGTCATTGACATGAAACTTGGATGCAAATATGTGATTCTTTGAAGACCTGTAGTTTGATGCTCAACAATTATATCATGATGGCAATTCGACTCTGTAAAATCACTGCTATTAAACCTACAACTTCTGAAGCAGTTGGTATATTATATTGACGACCATCTGTTGTTATGTTTCCCTTGAGGCACAATCGAAATGAAGAGTGTGGAGATGATTTGAATCTATCTCTCACCATTCGGAAACTTTTTACAAGAATGTTATGAGAATCCAACATTTGAGATAAGTCGTGCACAATTTCATGGTCCAACATAGATGCTCAATCGCTGTCTTGAAATGTATTGATTATGTTACCAATCTCATTATCAGTATCATATATATAAAGTTGTGCAAATTGTGGTTTTCGCCAATTCTCTGGCAACAGAGATCCAATGCGGTGATAATTTTGGCCACTTATACGGAACACGTATGGGCCCTTTGAGTTATTAATAGATGAATCAATATGACCACCTATTGACGTGAACGCAAAAATGGCATTATACGTTCGGATATTTTTTTGAAACTGAACTCCTTTTTGCCCAAAAGCATCACTCATGAGATATTGCATGTATTCGGGTGGTTCTTTCAATAATGGCACTTGAACACGCCCCTCCATGCAACAAAATGAAAATTTTGGTTGCGATATATTCCGAGTTTTGGTGTTCTGTTCCTCATACCATAAATTGCACCACAATGATGACAAGTGTATGTACGAGGTCCAAAATACCATGGTTGTGTCCAATTAACTATGGTGAATTTAAAAAAAATGAGAAAGTAAGCATCATAAAGTAATATGAAAGCACAAAAGTATAAAAAAAATATTTCTGAGTAAATAATATTTACCTTGTGCATGTGCGGTTTGTACGTTATGAGACTCGTATGAGGTATTTTGTGTTTCAACTTGGCAAGTTAGGGTGTTTGCAGAACTCTCAGTATTATGGCCATTTCATATATAAAAAATAAAGTTGTGAAAATAGAAATTGTGTTATATTAGGATGTTAGCATAATTGAAAGCTTATTTATGACTTGAATAAGTGGTTTACCTCGGTTTTCAACAAGATATTTGATGTTGGTGTAGGCGGTTGAATTTGAAAAAGTGTTAAAAGTTTGCGAAAGACACCGAAGAGTTATGTGCAAATCACGATGCTTATACTTGTTATGAATGAGTATTAACTTGTGATTCAGTCGTGCATGCTTTGTAATTCTGTCTCTAACAACTCGTAAGTTGTTGCCCATCATTCCATTTGAAGAGCTCGGTTGGTCTTTTTCCAACTGTCGCTTATGCTTTATATGATGACGACAAATACACGTGAACCACTTTTGAAGGTTGTGAACATGCTCCTGTGACTCTGGTAAACGTACAATATCTTGAATTAACGCATCAAACAGTTCCATTTTATGCTAGGGTACGCCTTGAAAGAGAGTACTGGAGGAGTTAAAATTTGGTGGAATAGATTAAAGTTTGTATAATTATATGAAAAACTAACATATTCACGTGACAATTAAATATCAGTAATGTTAAAAGTTATTCAAACCATTGTAAATATAAAGAGTGTTTCTCTTGCTCGAGATTTCTATCATCAATATATAACATTTCATCTACCCTTTTGAATCTCAATATTAAGTGTTAATAGCATAATGGGTACATACAATATAGAATGCAAAGGTCGTCTTAAAAATGTGTGAACTTAAGTATAAAATGTAGAGGTTTGAAAGACAATCATGTTTGTGGTTTTATGCATAAATAGATTGAAGATAACCTGGAAGACGAATTGTTGACGGCTACCTTCTCAAAATTTTGCAAAGGTTGGTTCACTAATATCTGGCCAAAAAAGCTATAATAAGTATATTTACAGTAATAAAAATAAGTTCATAGAAAATATTATGTATATGCGTGAAGTTAGGACTTAATTTCCAAAATGGTCCAAATGGAAGCACAACCACCTAAAGGTTTATGATTCAACATAAATTGTATTGTAAAGATTTAGTAGGCATATGAATAAAATATTGTAGATTAAGGACGACGAACTCATGTATATATAAACTCAAATAAAGTTGGAAGAAAATGATTCCTATAGAAGTGATAACAATTATCATTTAGTTAGAAGTTTACCTGGATGATGAATAGAATGGCTTTTGGAAGAAGGAGAATGGTATGCTTTCGTTGCAAATCTAGGACACTTAGGATTTTTACCTTATTTAGTTTTATTTAGTTTCCACATTTCTAGATTGCTTTCTTTCCATAAGAGATTTACGATATATCTTCCATAGATAACAATCTTCATATTTAGATTACTAGTATAAATAGATCTTATTATTCTTGTAATCGTTTACGCTTTCCATCCAATCAATTCAATAATAGTGAATCATTTGACACCCAAATATTATCTTGAATATCCTTGTGTTCTTCATTATTTTCCACCCACACAAAATATTTAGGTTATTCATAACTTGAATATTCATGCTATTGAGAGATCTGGGATCAACAATTGATATCAGAGCAAATTGAATGATTTTCAATCAAAACGATCAATTTGAATATGAGAATTCAAAAATCTCTCAATTTTCATCCATTAAAAATCCGTGTTCTTCTTCT